GGGTGCGGGCCGAATATACCGTGTCAGGGCTGTGTGTCGAGCTATTGGTGCCCGGCCGGCAGGTGGGTGCGGGCCGGATATACCGTGTCAGGGCTGTGTGTCGAGCTATTGGTGCCCGTCCAGCAGGTGGGTGCGGGCCGGATATACCGTGTCTGGGCTGTGCGTCGAGCCGTTGGTGCCCGGCCGGCAGGTGGGTGCGGGCCGGATATACCGTGTCTGGGCTGTGCGTTGAGCCGTTGGTCCCGGCCGGCAGGTGAATGGGGGCGGCCGGCCGTCTCCCACCGACACCGGTCGACACCGCTACCGGCTGACGGCCGTCATCGTGCACAGCGGCTACGCTTCGTCCGGACACTTCGTCACGTACCGGCGGCTGACGGACCCGGCCGACAACAGGTGCGGCGCTGGGCGCCCGGGCAGCCGGCGGGCACGGCCTGTCGGGGCCGCCGGGCTCTGCCGGCCTGCCGCCCGGCAGAGCCCGGCGACGTATGCGGCGAACATGCCGCACGTCGTCCTAAAGCTGATCGCTCTATGATTCGGAAACCTGTTGGTTTTTATTGGTTTGAAAATGTCTTTGGCTCCTTTTTCAAAGTTTGTGTTATGTCAATTCCCAACGTGCTGTATTTTGCAGTCTCTTCTGCAAGGTTGTTACACATTTTACTGTCGAATGTTCATCACCACGCTTCGTGTCATATGATAATTGATTTTTCCACGTAACACCATCGCCTTTTGAAAGACTACGGGCAGCTGTTACAAACAGTCCGGTCAAGTTGTGACAGCCCTTGTTGCTGACCTCCTGTAGGGTCCTAAACAAATAGGTTCAGCCGATGTATTGTGCTTCAACATCCCTGAGATGATATCATATTGTCGCTTTCCCAAGAACGGCGTTTTTTCTCTCAAATAACCGCTGAATGACCGCTCGCGACTGATGACGGCCTGTCGCGACTCTGGGGCTTGATGTAGGTGATCGGTTGCCAGATGTGTACACGCTCCAGTTTGTTACATTGGTACTGCTCAGCTAGTCGTGATGTTCGACTTCCTCCAGTAGATGAGGTCGTTGGTTGCATCATCTATTACAAAACAGCATGTTCCCAGTACGATCAGTGCATATCAGGTTTTGCTTGTGCTGTTTTTTATCTCCTTTCCTAAACGATTCCAAAGTCTATTTAAAAGAGCGTTAGATTTTCAAATGTGACGCATATTTGTGTCACCGGCCACTCAGCTCTCGGTCGGTGTGCTTTATTTGCGTGGCTCAATGAACACACATGCCGGCCGCTTTCCACGCCCGGCGGGGCCGACGGACAGGGGGCGTTGGCCGGGTGACGGGTGATGTCTGCGCCGGGCGGCAGCGCGCGCGTCCAACGCAGGGTCGGGTGACGGGTGATGTCTGCGCCGGGCGGCAGCGCGCGCGTCCAACGCAGGGTCGGGTGACGGGCGATGTCTGCGTCGGGCGGCAGCGCGCGCGTCCAACGCAGGGTCGGGTGACGGGCGATGTCTGCGTCGGGCGGCAGCGCGCGCGTCCAACGCAGGGTCGGGTGACGGGTGATGTCTGCGCCGGGCGGCAGCGCGCACGTCCAACGCAGGGTCGGGTGACGGGTGATGTCTGCGCCGGGCGGCAGCGCGCACGTCCAACGCAGGGTCGGATGACGGGTGATGTCTGCGCCGAGCGGCAGCGCGCACGTCCAGCGCGGGGCCGGGTAGCGGATGATGTCTGCGCCGAGCGGCAGCGCGCACGTCTGGCGCGGGGCCGGGCGGGCGCTGCCGCGACCGAGGCCCGGCCGTTGTGGACGCCGTCTGCGGGCGCGCTCTGGAGCTCCAGCTCTCGGTCAGCTCATTCTCCGCGGCTGCCGCAGGTGGTTCTACACGTCCGACACGCTCGTCAGCCAGGCGTCGCGCTCCGAGGTGTTCGCCGCCGCCGCCTACATGCTCTTCTACGAGCGGGCCAGCAGCAGCGACGGTGCGGCCGCGCGGCCCGCGCTGCCGCTGCCGGTCGGGGCCCGGTGAGGCGTCGCTTCCCTCGCCGCTCCGGCGGGTGTGCTTCCCCGCCGTCAGTCAAATAGTGCTCAACGTTGTGATACGATGCCCACGCTGAGGTAGCCGGGTGACGCTTAGACAGAGATGTGTGTGGATCGGTGCTGTGCGCCGGAGCTTCAAGCCGCCAAACGGAGTGCCTTGTGTGGGGGCGGCGGTGCGCCTGCCCCCTGTGGCCAGTGTTCCTATGACCGTCGGCTTCACTGGTGTAGGGTGTGAACTCCGTCCCCTGCCCCGGGCGCCGCGGGGTCCACCCAGTCACCGCGCGCGTATTGCCGACTCGACCTTTACGGCTGGAGGTACTCTTGGCGGGGCTTAATGAGGCCATTACGACGGGCTGGCCTGTGAAGTAGTTAGCGGCGGACTTTTGTGGCTGGCTGTGCGGTCGCCGGGCCGCCAGTGACGTGTTTTCGACGAGAATACACACCAAGTATAGCCTCGGTTCCCCTTTGAGACGTACCAGCAGAAGCCTGGACGGTGAGCTGAGCTGGGGGAGAAATGCCAGCGGCAGATACGGTGCAGGGTTTCAGTTGGTTGTATTGCTGATTTACTATCGTTGCTAACAATGATGTAGGGCCAACAAGAACAACGAGTAAACGTGGTGAATAACCACTCGGGTGCGGTCGACGGCGTCACGGATGTGCCGTGAACGCTACCAGTGACGCGCGTCATTCAGCACCACACAGCCGACGCACGCGGCCGCTCTCGACCGGCTCTCTGGTGGGCGCTCACGAGTTACAACAGGTTTAACAACACCGGAAACACGTGGAAGAAGGCTGCTGCTCACCTCTCGAGGTATGCACCGTACAAACGACACCAAAACTAGCTGGACATCTGTGAACGGGAAACCACAATTGGCCCTCGCACCATTCGCCGGCCGTTCCATTGCGCCTGTCATGCCTGGAAGTCTAAAGACACATCTCGAAAAACTCCTCATTGTCACCTTTTAAACCCCGCACGCCCATTCGCGCGTAGCCTGGCGTAACTATTATCAATTAACGGCCGCTAGCTGTAAAGGTGCGATGTTGTCTCCACGCACCCGACTGGCCTAAAGGACTGCTTGCGATTGGTCCAAATGACTAGTTTGTCAGGGGCGGTGCCCTCTCGCCGTAGCCGCCGGCGCACCTAATCGCGCAGAGGGCCAATCAGCGGCGAGGCCCGCGCCGCACCGTGCCACGCGGGTCAGGTGGGCGACACCCGCACTGCCAATGTGAACGGTGGGCGACACCCGCACTGCCGATGTGAACGGTGGGCGACACCCGCACTGCCGACGTAAACGGTGGGCGACACCCGCACTGCCAGTGTGAACGGTGGGCGACACCCGCACTGCCGATGTGAACGGTGGGCGACACCCGCACTGCCGACGTAAACGGTGGGCGACACCCGCACTGCCGATGTAAACGCAGGAGCACAGGCTGGAGTTACCTGCTGGCCGTCCGCGCCCGGCCATCACTGCCAGCGTCTGTGGTCCGTCGGCAGACGGTGCTACGGCTCAAAGGCACCAGAACCAGTCGGAAAGGAGTAAGAGTGCCGATGTTTGTTGCCATGGCTGCTATCCCTTTTGTGCTGCCCGGAAGCCAACTCCGCACGACTGGTGAGGACGCTGGAAGATTCGGAGATGCGCACGTGTACCTGACTGCGGATCCGCCCCTATAGATCCTTGCGGCACCGTCATTTCGGCGAACTTGTGCTCGCCTGCCTCAGCCGGCTGGCAGCTGGCAAGCGCCCGGCAGCCCGTGACCCGGGAGGCTGCTCCCGCTTGCATACTGCATGAGCGGAACAGAGGCCATTCCGGTGATTTGGTGGGCAGGGCCGGCCGCGCCTGGCGCTTGGCGCTTATCCGGCAGCCGTCCAGGCGGAGTTACCTAGCGCGCGAACACGGCTGCCGTCCAGGCGGAGTTACCTGGCGCGCGAACACGGTTAGTGGGCCGGCCGATTCTCGTCAGCAGCGCGAAACGTCCCAACGACCGGCGCTGGCACGGCCTGGCCAGTCTTGCTGATGCCGCTGCGCCGCGTTCACGGGCACTATTCCACGGATTCACCAAGCCATTGTACTTTTACAACGTTATGGTGCTGTTGCACGGGTGCCAGTGGTATCTTGTGCCTGTCTGTTGGATGCCGCCGCCAGCGGTTTGGAACCAGAAAGCGAGGGTTGAGCCTGGCCGACTTCGAAAGCGCTGCATCCTCGCCCACCTTCGTGGCATGTCGGGTAATCGACCGGAGCACCGGTGTAGGAACGTGAGGCGCCCGGTGACGACCCCGGCATCGGTCAGAGTTCGAGGCGGTCGTGGCAGCAGGGCAGCCCGACGACTGTGCACTGGAGAGGCGCCGCGGTCGCCATGGCACGCGCCGGATGGCTAGACGTGCCGGCTGTCCTGGGCCCTGCTGGGTCGGGAATGTGTACCTTATGACGAACCGTGAGTGGTGCGGAGGCCGACGACGGACTGCTCCCCGCACTGTGCTGCAGACGACTGACCGGTCCACGGCCGGAGATGGGGCGGTCCGTGGCCGGAGACGGAGCGGTCCGCAGCCAGAGACGGAGCGGTCCGCGGCCGGAGACGGAGCGGTCCGTAGCCAGAGACGGAGCGGTCCGTAGCCAGAGACGGAGCGGTCCGCAGCCAGAGACGGAGCGGTCCGCAGCCAGAGACGGAGCGGTCCGCGGCCAGAGACGGAGCGGTCCGTAGCCAGAGAGAACCGTGAGTGGTGCGGAGGCCGACGACGGACTGCTCCCCGCACTGTGCTGCAGACGACTGAGCGGTCCACGGCCGGAGATGGGGCGGTCCGTGGCCGGAGACGGAGCGGTCCGTAGCCAGAGAGAACCGTGAGTGGTGCGGAGGCCGACGACGGACTGCTCCCCGCACTGTGCTGCAGACGACTGAGCGGTCCGCGGCCGGAGATGGGGCGGTCCGTGGCCGGAGACGGAGCGGTCCGTAGCCAGAGAGAACCGTGAGTGGTGCGGAGGCCGACGACGGACTGCTCCCCGCACTGTGCTGCAGACGACTGAGCGGTCCACGGCCGGAGATGGGCGGTCCGTGGCCGGAGACGGAGTGGTCCGCAGCCAGAGACGGAGCGGCCCGCGGCCGGAGACGGAACGGTCCGCGGCCAGAGACGGAGCGGTCCGTAGCCAGAGAGAACCGTGAGTGGTGCGGAGGCCGACGACGGACTGCTCCCCGCACTGTGCTGCAGACGACTGAGCGGTCCGCGGCCGGAGATGGGGCGGTCCGTGGCCGGAGACGGAGTGGTCCGCAGCCAGAGACGGAGCGGTCCGCGGCCAGAGACGGAGCGGTCCGCGGCCAGAGACGGAGCGGTCCGCGGCCGGAGACGGAGCGGTCCGCGGTCAGAGACGGAGCGGTCCGCAGCCAGAGACGGAGCGGTCCGCGGCCAGACACGTTGCGGTTCGCGGCCAGAGACGGAGTGGTCCGCAGCCAGAGACGGAGCGGTCCGCGGCCGGAGACGGAGCGGTCCACAGCCAAAGACGGAACGGTCCACGGCCAGAGACGGAGCGGACCGCGGTCAGAGACGGAGCGGTCCGCGGCCGGAGACGGGGGGCCGCAGCCCGAGACGGAGCGGTCCGCGGCCGAGACAGACGAGCCGCGGCCGGAGACGGAGCGGTCCGCAGCTAGAGACGGAGTGGTCCGCAGCCAGAGACGGACGGGCCGCGGCCGGAGACGGAACGGTCCGAAGCCGGAGACGGACGGGCCTCAGCCAGAGAGGGACAGGCCGCGGCCGGAGACGGACGGGCCGCGGCTGGAGACGGAGGGGTCCGAAGCCGGATTCGGACAGGCCGCGGCCACAAACGGAGCATCAACACCACCGCAGTGGATGGGGTCTGACCTGGACAGGTGGTTGTTTAACCTTCGCACGACGGAGTGGTGTATGCCGCGCCCTATGTGTTACCTCGACTCAGAATGCTACTGATGGACCTGAAGGAGTGAAGCCTGACTTTTTAAAACGCCAAGTTAACCACTGTTCCGCGTTGCTGGCCACGGCTCAGTCAGGGACCATGTGCTGAGGGAATATCTGGCTGGGTCTTGCGCGGCGCACGAATGAAAGTAGCCCAGCCCAACGATGATAAATGAGGCATGCGAAGCCTGCACTGGAAATGAGGTATTGATTTTATCGTCGCCGTGCATCGGGAAGATCAATGATGCGATGACACCGACATCAAAAGCACCTGGCTGGGCTAACTTGCGGGGCGACATAGCAAACAGCTGACAGTTTGGTTGCACATGCCATGGTAACAGTCCAGGTAACGTTTACTCTTTCAACCGGGCGCCTCGTCGGTTTCAGCGCTGATGTACACTAATATATATCAAAGACTAGCGGACTGCAGCTGTGTTCTGCGCCGTGCTCACTGGCTGACATTCCGCAATCTGGCCACAGGTTATCGTCGCGCAGCCTGATGTTTGGCTAGCGTTCCATGGTCGGATCCTGGTTGACATCACACGGTCTTATCACTGACCGACATTCAGCGGTCCGGTCAGCGGCTAGCCCTGGGACACTTGCCGGACGAGGAACAAACGGTGAAAGAAATGAGGCCAGGTCGGCGGTCGTCATAGCACCAGAACAGCGCCACCACCCGGAATTGCGGCAGCGCCGCGCCAGGCGTCGGACAGGTGTCGGACGGATCGGCTAGCAACCGGTCGGACGGTTGGACGGTCTGCCAGTCGGCCGGTCGGTCGGTCGGCCGTCCGTCTGGCCCGCACGACGTGTGAGCTGGTCGCCGGCGTCAGTCTGCCGCACCTGCAATCACACTGCCAGCATCTCAGCGGTCGGCCTGACCGGCGACAGATATTGGAGGCGTCCGGCGGCTGGCTAGGACGCGGCCCCGCACAGCGGCGCCGGCGGCCGCCTGCCGAGCTTCAACCCGTCCCGCTCCGACATACCGCGCGTCTCCCATGTGGGCAGAGGCCGGCGGAGACCGCTGAACTTCCGCCCGTCCTTCTCCGACTTACTCCCCCCCCCCGCGGGCAGATGCCGGCTCAGACCGCTGAATTTCCGCCCGTCCTACTCCGACTTACTTCCCCCCCCCCTCCCCCGTGGGCAGAGGCCGGCTCAGACCACTGAATTTCCGCCCGTCCTACTCCGACTTACTTCCCCCCCCCCCCCCCCCCGTGGGCAGAGGCCGGCTCAGACCGCTGAATTTCCGCCCGTCCTACTCCGACTTACTTCCCGCCCCCCGCGGGCAGAGGCCGGCTCAGACCGCTGAGCTTCGGTCTGTTCCCTCCGCCTCATCGCGCGCCTCCCATGACGTCAGGGCCGACTGAGACTAGCGAGCATCAAGCTGACACCGGCGCTGTGCCGCCCATCTGATGACTCTTTATCCTGTTCTCCCATCTCTGTCTCAGTCTCAGTGTTAGCCTACGTCTATTGATATTAAAATATGAAGAAATAAAGAACATGCTAAATCTCCCGAGGAAAATAAGTAGCT